GGTTTAGGGATCTTGGGGTTTAGATGAAGAAGTTTCGGGATTTAGGGGTTCAGATGGAGAGGTTAAGGGATTGAGAGGCTGAAGGATTTAGGTTAAGGCTTGATTTAGGGGCCGAAACACGTAGAATAAGGTTTGGTTGGGGGTAGAGTGTACTAGTGTTATGTAAGAATTATGAGGGGATGATCTTGCTAAGGTTTCCGGCTTTGGTGTTAGGATTTAGGGTGAAGGGCGTTGGGCTTACTTGGGGGGTTCCGAAAAGAGGGTACCCTGAGGGAAGCTAAAGATACATAGTCCCCAGGCATTCCAAAGGTTATTTTGCGGGTCTTGGGTTTTAAGCGTTTAGGGACTGCGCTGCGCTATGGGTATTCTCTTGGTTGTTTGTCACAGCGATGCTCCTAAAACCATAATATGTGCCAGGTCATATTCTTGACTACTTATACCACACAACAAGATATAACTTAGGTGGACCCGCCACCCAGGGAGAGTGACTGTGAGGAATAACGCTGATTGTATTAAGGTCCTCTTACATTCCTATAAAACCGCTACAGGATGGGGGTCCACCTAGCGTATACCTGGACCCCCAAAGTATGTAAAATAATAGCCCAAAACCCCTAAATATAGCCCTAAAGGCTATTTTACATACTTTTGGGGTCCAGGTAAGCATGATCCTCTTTTTGGCTCCTCCAAAGCCCAATCTGACATTGTGGGGCTCAGTGGGGTCATTCATAATGGGATAATGGAAAAGAAAATTGAAACTATTGTATTATAATAGGGTATATATTGGGGTTATAATGGGATACTGGAAAAGAAAATAGAAACTACTGTATTATACTCGGGTGCAATGATTGTATACGGTTCACGGCTTCTGGCTCAGGGTTTAAAGTCAAAAAGGGCACAAAGTGGACAAAACCTGCACCGAAGAGTCTCCTTGGTTTCTTCCAAGACCCCACACCATAAACCCTGAACAACTGCTTCTAACTCACGGGTACCTGGTGCCATAACCCAACTACACCCAAAAACAAATTCAATATCATCCTATGGGGGCTTATAATGGGGTTGAAGTGCCGTCATAAGTAGTATAACCCACAACATGCTGCTCAGCCCGATCAACAAACTTGAACTGCGGGTCTGGAATCCGGCTGACTCCAAGACTGGCTGCGAAAAAAATAACGGTCTAGGATCTAGGTTTTAGGGTTTAGGGATATACCTTACCAACAGGGGACAATCAAGCGGAACATAAAACGGAAGCTGGGTTCATATAAGAGCTTATGGGAATGGAACCTTGAATGACAGTAGGATCCGCATATGAGCTGTAGTCTAAACTCCTAGTGTCCTCCTTAATATCCCCTGTAGTAGTCCCCTATACTTTACGGAGTTTAGACTAGGGCTCATATGGGTATTTCTTGCAACAGAAGAGGATGCGATCCCGTTTGAGGGTTTTGAGGTAGATTGGGAGTACCTCTAAGGCTCAGAAAACGCTTTAGGGTTTAGGCTTCAGTATGCAGATTCGATAGGACGAAAGCACGATCAGCCCCAAACCCAGTCTTCCATAGGGAGAAGTGCCTAGTCGAATCGAAGCCAAAAGTAAGTAACCCGCACGAACAATGACCCCATGCACCCCAAACCCTATGAACCTGGTAAACACCATAAACCATGTAAACAGTATACATCCTGTAGGCCTTATGAAGCCCTATAACCCTTATAAACACTAGAAATCCGATAAACCCTTGAAGCCCTAAAAACCATATAGATTTGAGCACGGGCTTCGTAGTAATAGATTTTATTTTGCACCCGGGATTGACCTCCGCCTTCTCCGTCTGTGCACTCGGCCAATGGGAGGGTTGGGACGAGCGGCTGAACCTCGTTGCACTTCAGAAACTGATGCTGGTAGTCGTAATCCAAATCCCGTCGCGGCCCCCATGTCCAACGCCTCCTGGACCGTTGAAGACTTGGCCCTAAGGGTCCAAGGACCCAAATAATAGGGTTTTAGGGCCCAAATACCACTGATATTATAGTATTTGGGCCCTAAAACCCTATCATTTGGGTCCTTGGACCCTTACATAGTCCCCATATATCCCGATATATCCCCCTAGAACCCCTTTAAGGGGCCCTATCATTTGGGTCCTTGGAC